GACTAGAGTGTTAACATCAATTTGACCACGTGTGCAAGCAGTAAATCTCGACTACCGACCATTGTTTCACTGTCAACTATATCATACCCTATATCCATGCAATTTCTGCAATTAATTGTAAATCTAGACCCTTTATGTCATTGATTTGGAATCCTGCAAAGCCATTTTAACACACGTAACGTCATAATGCCTTCCGAGGTGTCCCGAGAGAGCCATTCCAGATTTGACAGAATAAATTTACGATGTAATTCAACTTCAGACTCGATCCGGCTTTTTTTTTATTGATGTGCCCTCAAAAATGTATTGTGGTCCAGAATACCGATATACGTCAGTGATCTGGGCCATTATCCCAAAAACAACCGTAAAAAATTCATCAGAAAATCAATTCAGATTCCTCTTTTTTTTAACACGGGGAACAGAAAAATATAAGCCAGTTCTGTATAAAAAGAACTTAACAAAATACTTCCTTTTTCTTACCATCGATCCGTATATTAATTGGCCAGAAATAAGAATGGTACGGAGACTCTTTGCTTGTTAAGCCAAACATTCAGACTTCTCTTAGATATCTCAGCTGCAGATGATGCCTCGAGCTGAACTTTCCCACAAAAATTCAATAAAGTCCTGTTTTGCCCAATATTCCATACACGTGCAAACATTTCGCAGGGCAATAAGACTTAATTACATCTAGATGTATACCAGGGAAGTAGGTCTTGCAGCAAACATAAAAATCCAAAGAACGACTATCTTCCAAATCAATGGTATATATAGTGTATTATCTGAGATAAAAAAAAACTATTTTTCTTTTAAATTATCATCTAATATGTAAATCTACAGTGTATATGTCAAATTGATAGCCACAGCAAGAGCAAGTTTCTCAAATAAATTTTGCTTCAAAAGAATACAAAATAAAGTCACCAAACAAACATGCGCAACTAGTGTTTATAAGAATTCCGAGAAATTGCATCTAAAAACTAAAGATTTTATCAAAATTGAGACTCTCCAGATTTTTTTAATTATTTACATGAATGTTACTGTTTATGGTATCAAAATGATATTTAACAAATTATTCTGTAAATGACTACTTAAAAAATATGAAAATCTCAAAATTCCATTTTTATTGAATAAGTAGTTGTCTACGATGTCAAAAATGCTTAGTCTACTTTTTTGTTAGGATTGGTTGTACAATGCGTAGAAAATTCTGGCGTTTTGGTCGAGTATGGTCGGTCTATGAAGAATGCTTACTCGTTTAAGGCACCTGATCCCAACTCTGGAATTTCCAGATGCCATCTTCACAGACTTATTTTGATTTTAATTTTTTGCGATTGAACTATTCGTTACATTTGCCTTTTACATGCTATTGATTTGTGGAATAAATAATATCTTAATTTTTTAAAATTGTATTCGGAGATTTGGGGAAGTTGCACTGAAATATGTTTCACATGTAGTTTCTCCTTCACAGTAATTGATATTTCAGTTATTAAGAGTGAAGATTAATGGCTTGATGGAACATTTACTAATCCCTGCAATGAATTTTTATTTATTTATAACGGTTTTTCTCGAGCTATGAAATCCTTTATAGGTACGACAACTCAAAATCACTTTCGGTATCTATTACCTGGAACATGTGGAATGCAATTTGAAAGTATTTTAACAGAATTGTGTTTCAATTCTACAAAAGAACTGCAAAAGTGGGATTACCACATGTGGAGTAAAAGGTTAGGTAAAATTGCAGTTATAATGGCCGTACACATGAAATATATATACGGAGATAACGAACAGTATTCAAGAGCAAATGTCCATTTTGACCATAAAACAATACAAAATAGGAGATAGCAAACACGGACCTCCTAAAATTCAGAGGTGTGATTAGGTGACATGGAGGAGTGAGCATCCACTGCCGACCGGTGACACCCGCCGTGTGCTCCTTGTCCTCCATCCGTCGTCAATTCAGTGTATAAATAATGGTCTAACAATATCAAATATAGTATAAAAACGTCAGCAGCATTTGACTCAATGTTAAATTGTATTTGCTAACAAGGTCATTGTATTGACCACAGAGCTTACGAAATTATGACTGTAAACGAGACTCTTGATATTCTACTTGCATCAACTTGTTTGTCAATAATTTAGCTAGTTTTAGAAAATGTTCATACATAGAGCGTGCTCTTGTGTATCGAATCACTGTGCTACATACATGTAAACTCTGTATGGTGGTGATGAAGGAATATTGCTGCATAAGTAAGGGAAGTTGACGGTAGAAAAATTAGAGCCATCACGTTTATCATAGAACTTAGTTGTTAGATTACCATTAATGTCTTTTTCAAGTAAAATATCCAAATATGAAACAAATGACTCTGTGGTATCTTTCATCTCGATCTCACCAGGATATATCGTGTCCAAATAAGAATGAAAATTACTATTGTTAATTAAAAATACGTCCACGATATATCTAAATGTCGATTTGAAGGCCAAAGCAAGTGTTTTCTTCTTTTCACGCGTAAGATTTTGCACACATTCTGCTTCATATGAATACAAAATCAGGTCTGCTAATAACGGGGCGCAATAGGTACCCATGGGAAATCCAATACATTGTAGGAAGACCTGGTTTCCAAAATCACATAGATATTGTCAATAAGAAACTCAAGTATCTCACGCATCTTTTTGATGTCGACTTCAGAGTATTTGTGTGTACAATCACAATGTTTTTAACAAAATAATTTTGCAAATGACCGATGACAATGTAAAACTTTATTGTTACCAGCCTTGTCACCTGACACTAAACAATTTTTTTAATAAACTTCCAGAACTTTAAACTTTTTTGACAGTGAGTTGGGGTCTTTGTATTCATAATCAGTATATCATGTTGTACACAATACATTCTTGGACCAATTTCATCAAAGAAATTAATTTCAGTAACAATTTGAAACAGTGCTATTGCTTCAAGGATTTTTTGACCTTTTGGAATTGTTTAAAATGATTTCCTTCATGAATTCATACAACAAGAGTATTGATACCTCCAGCAATAGTTAAGTTGAAAGAAACTTTTAGGATTTTATTTGAAAGACTTGGTCCTCTTAAGCTGCCCTACTGCAAATGTTAACGTCAATACTTTTAATTTCAGACAGAATGACGTACGATGCAATATCTATATGGCTCCTTATAGTATGCTGGGCCAAGCTAAATATGAACGACTACTCCTTTAATATCAAAATATATTTTTAAAATTTATTACATAATTCATCAGCACTTTTTAATCGTTCATTAAATAAAAAAAAAAAAACGCATCACGATTGTGTTTTTACACAATTGTCATACAAATAATTTTTTGTTTTAATATCACAAGATTAAGGAGACAGGTTACAATGTTGTAACAATCAATTCATTAATTGTAATTCAACAACAATGCATCTTACACAAATACAGAGAAAAGAATCCAGTTCTACAAAACAAAAACTATTTTTGAACTTTGGATATCTCATGGATATGTTCAAGTATACTGGAATTACCAGCCACTTTTTCTTATAAATTCTAAGTTTACAATGTAGCAGTAACCACAACATCTAAAATCTTTGTAATACCATATCTGACATAGCACCAAGTTGTTTCTTTCCCCCAAAGAGTTCAAGATATCAGTGTTTGACTATACATTTAACAGTTTTAAAATTCCCTAATACATTTACACATAGGTTCAAAGAGAAATATATTACCCTTGCTCAGTGTTATATGACAATCGTTACCATTTTAGTTTGTTCCCTAGCTGAATGCAGTAAATTTTTTTCTCCAAGACACATTTTAAATGTCTGTAGAAGTGTAATTAGTTTCACATAGCACTCAAAAATCATTGACAGTTCTATATTTGATAAATGAATGTGACAAATTTTATGAAAATATTTCATTAATATACTGTAAGATTTTGAATTATTAAATAAATACATGTAATTGCATTGTATATTAATAGACTTATTGAACAGATAACACACTTTAAACCACTCTACTTAAAGCAATATGATCTGCAACTTTGATGTCGGAATTTTTTGTTTCAAAAGAAACATGTCTGTTTTTTATTTGTGGTCAAAATTGATATGCATTGACAAGAAATCTATTTTTTTTCATTCAAAATCATTTTTTTAAATCTATCTCCTACACAGTTTTGTTCAAACAAGATGCCAACTCATAAAATAATTTTTTTCCCAATAAATTGTGATTGAAATATTGCTTTTAATTAAGCAAAATTCCTCACAAAAAACAGAAAAAAAAGTTTTCAGGTACTTATGCATTAAGATATCTATGAATAATATCAATTGAGTTGTAGATACATGTATTAAAATCAAGGTCTTTATTTTTTTAAGTAATTTTGAAAACAGATTAGAAATCAAGATTGAATAACCCTTGTAAAGAATTTAGTATGTTTCAAAGACATATATAAACCAGATATTTAAGGAATGTGTCTTAATGCATTATGTTTAGTAAATCATACTATTTCATGAAAAAATCTATGTTTTTTATACACCCTGTAATTAAATGATATATCAAACACAGTTCTGATTTACAACAAACCCCTCATGCACTCTCTTGCCAATTTCCTCAAAAACAAATTGAACACATCATAATACTTTGGAAGAAACTAAAAAAAATTAACATCCACACTTTTCAATCTCATTCATGTCATGTAAAAATAAAATACAGTAAAACTTGTCTCATCAGGATGTTGTGAAATCCCACATCTGGTCTAATATGGTGTTAACTTTGGAGAGGACGTTCTAAGTATTAAGTACTTGTGTCCAATCCTTTTGTTGTAACATCTTAACAATAAAATATGTTCAAAACAAACTTTGGTCTGTTGCAGTTACTGTAGATTCCTCAATATCCACAAGGAATCAATTACCACGTAATTTCGTGAAAAACTCCAAACGCAGATTAAAATCATTTGCCTTTATTTTAATGGTGCTGAAATCTATTTATTAAATAGATTTCAGCACCATTAAAATAAAGGCAAATCTCTTCATTGACTGTCCATTCGCAAATTATTTTTTTCGCGATTTGACGCTGAGGAGTCCATTCGCAATAATAAGTACTCGCAAAAAATAAGGAATCTACAGTAATTCAATTGTTTTTAATGTTGTCTAATCCAGAATATTGCTTTATCCAGCCAATTTCTTTGGAATCAGTGGTGTCCTGATTTAAGGCAAGTTTTACTGTACCTATTAGCATAAATACACCCAGTATGAAATGGGGACTTACACATGAGCTAAAACTGACCACTATACCCCCACACATGTCACGTGAACTCACACAAGTGACCGCAGCCTGTTGGACATTGTCTATTGAGACTAAACCACTCTTTCATGTGATTGAGGTGACCCCCATGTGAACAACCTTGACACCAGATGAAGAGGCCCTTCACGGGTAAATGACTGCAAAAACAGAATTATCAAACTTTAAAAAGAATTGTTCAATAATAATGGAATACATGTTAAAGATGTGTAAATATAATTCTTTAAAAATCCTCACATGGGTTAACAGAGCGCATTTCAAAGGAAAAGGTATGTTTTTATTTGAAAACTTGATTTTAAGGCATTTTTCCCATCTATCACACATAAAATTCTGATTTTTTTTTTTTTTTGGGGGGGGGGTATGAATATTTAGGCAACAAAACAGCCTAGTCTTTGAGTTAACCGAAACCAACATGCACTGTAAACAGGGAAATTTTTTGCCACTATTTTGTTTTTCATCCCTTTCAGCCTACTCACAGGTGGGTGAATTTAACATGGGCTGAATTCAGAGAACACAGTATAATTTGTGAAACAGAACAATAACTGGGCAAATTAAAAACGGGGCAAAGGTGTTCATACTAAGGGTGAAAATAAAATGGGCAAAAGTGACTCTATAATACTGTATAACTATAGACTTTTCTGAAGAGCCTACCATATTGTGCAGTTGTTGATGACGAGTTTACATCTGTCACACAGCCAGCCCACTCGTTGTAGCGGTCGGTTACAGCGGTGACAGTTGACATGGATACGCGTGGATTGCTGGTTTAACAGGTTCACCTGTGGAAGGTGACTCAGTTTAATTATCGTATTCGCTTTTGTCCATAATTGAAATCTGGCCAGCAGATCTGAAATTAACAATGTAAATTAACATTGATAAATAAAAACCAAGTCAAGGAACATTAATTCACAGAATAAATTAGCGTACAAAGTAAACTGTAAAAAAAAATCAATGCTTTTAATTTACTTTAATGCAAATAAAGAAATATGTTCAACAACTTTTAAGTGCAAACAGAGATTTAGTCTTACAAGTACTTTTTCGTGGGGATCAAATTTCACTGATTACCCGTTAGTTATCTTAAACGGTTTTGTGGGCATTAAATTTCGTCAATTCAAAAGTTAATTATCCTATTCAGTAAAAATAATCCTATTGAAATATTGTGAGGGATTTAATTTTGTTGATACTTGTTCACAACGAAATACATCAAATATGATCCCTAATGAAATTTACTGCTTTTACAGTATTTCTAGATGTATCATGTAAAGTGTATGAAAACTGTATACTTTTCACTCTTACTTATGTGCATTTTAATACACCACATGAATCATTGCACAAAAATATAACATTTGTCAGATGGGTTTACTTTAACCTTAAAAGGACATCATATTTGCATACACATGTACAGGTACATATGTACAGGTGTATGCAAATATTATGTACATACCTAAATAAGACAAGAACCAGTTTTCTTGAACTTCGGGTTCAATCTGAGGTCGGTATTTAGGTCCCAGGACAATCAGTATACAAACAGCTGTCTGCACATCTCCCTGGAGTCAAAGTAGAAACAAGTTTAATCAGGTGTCTTATACCATGTGTTAAATTTAGGATGTCCCATAATCTGTAGTTGGATATAAATTTTATCAAATGAATTGTGTGGGTTTTTTAAACCCAGGGTGAGGATGAAAACACAAGATGAGTTGGATAAAAGTCATATCCAGCTACATATCATAAAAGATCCTTTTTATCCCATGTTTAATTCACAACCAATGTTTTACACTGGTTTTATATAGGATCCCACTTTATTTAACTTCATCACAATTCAAAAACCATTGTGACGTCAGAGTCCGTAAATGTACTAAAATCTTTGTTGGGTTTACTTTGCTTATTGTCAAATTAACTCAAATGCGTCCACTAATTTGCATATTTCCTTCGAAGGCATCATCACCACTTACCTGCTCAGCATAATGGTGCAGCATCTTGGAGATGAAATCAGAAAAGCGAAACTCGGGAAGTTCAAGGGTATTCCCGAACAATCCCAGCACCTCCTCTTCCTTATTACTCCCCCCGGGGAGGGGGACACTGAGATTGTTGTTCTCGCTCTCATTAGCGCTAATTGTCGGAGAATCATGACCATTCTGTATGGAGTCCAGCGGAGTTCCGTGGTCCTTGATTTCATGTCGCGGCTGGAAGGCTTCACGTTGCAAGGACCATTCCTAAAACCGAGAATTTAATAAAATAAAGGCATATTTCTGCTTCATATTATCATTCTACACATTATATCCAAAGACAATGGCTAAGCAATGAAAATAAAGAAAATAAAGAATCTAACTGCAAGGGATGTAACTCTGCCAAAGCCATGACAAAACATCCAGTCCGAGGATGAAATTTTTAATATCAAAATATAAAGACAATAACTTTTGATGAGAAGAAAAGATAATAAATTATCCTTCAAATATTTAAAAATTAACTTTTTCCTCCATCTATTTTGTACAAGAAATTTGCATCAATTTCTGACCTGCAATCCATCCATGTTATTGTAGGGAATGATATCTTGATCGCCGTCAGCAAACAGTATATCCCACTCCTCGGGGATTATCTGTCCTCTGGCGATGTTTGTCAGGTTCTCTTTCTTATAATCCTCCTCATCTGGTCAATAAAACAACAAATATACTGGTACGCTTCTACGACAATCTGTGTAACAGGTGTAGAATGATATATATGACTATACATGTACCTTGCTTTTGACATTTTGCTTAGTGTGAAATTACACATTTTCATGGGGGTTAATTGATTTTGAGGTATGAAGAGACCCATGAATTCATGTCCACCATGAAATGTGAAATTTGTTACATACATAACTACTCAACAATTCTTCATCCACAAAATCAAATCCCCACAAACAAAAACTTTTTCCTCAAAGCCCGAAAATTTGATTCCATAAAAATATGATTTTACAGATCTATAAAATGAGGACAAAGAATTAAAATACTGTATAGGGGGAAAATAACTCGCGGTGTTAATATTTGCTATATTCACGGTGTTAATGAATCCGTGAATTCAAGAAACAGTGAATAAGTTTTCAATAGGTATAGATAAGGGAGGAAACTTTTAATATATACCAATCCGCGAATTCAAGAAACTGTGATTGTACCAAAGAAGAGAAAAACGTGAAAATTACAACCCGTATAATTAATCACCTATACAGTAATTGATTATCAAAATGAACCAATATTTTTCCCTTTAACAATTCAAAAAGATTTCCCTTTACCATGTTTTTTTTTCTTTTTCTATATAATAATATACCTGAACCAAAGTTTGAGGAATCATCCACATCTCCATTGCTAATCTCATTGGTTGGAGTGGCTGTTTCTGTGAAATAAATTAAACAAGATGAGTTTGTGAAACACTATGCCCCCTATGGTAACACAATACTGGAGTGGGACGTAGACTGAAGTGGTATACACTTAGCCTTAAAAAAAATTATATCAAAATACTGTAGAAGTACTTTTCTCTGCGTGGTATTAATTTATGCCATGTACGCAATCACAAATTGTCTGTGAAATACTTGTAAGAAATATAGTGAGAGTCTTAGAAATCCCGTAACTTTCTACCCGTGGATTAAAGAAAAATAGAGATTCCGCGGAATTATGACCCCCTGGAAAATAGTACGTCTACAGTAAACCTATTGCAGGCTGAGATTAACAATGTATACAGGGAAATTTTCGCCTCCGTCTTAATTTCTCCCCTTTCGCCCTACCCACAGGCGGGCGAATTTAAAACGGGGCGATTTAAGAATACACAGCATGATTTCTTAAACAGTATTGTAACTGGGCGAATTCAAAACAAGGCAAAATTGTGTCCAGGTGTGAAAGGGTGAAAATACAATGGGGTGAAAATAACCCTGTATACAGTAATACTTTATATGTTGATACCTGATAGTGGTTCCTGTGGTGCATCTCTTCTTGTTGTTGTAGACATTCCAACTATATATGTAAAAATGTTTTTGATTTAGGTATCATATTGTCACAGCAACAAAATGTAAAGGATAGTATATTTTCATGCATAATGAATGTTTGATGTTAATTAATTTTATCAATTTAATTTTCTGAGCGATTCATGACAATCTTGCCTCTTTGTGTTGATTCTGTTGATGAAGCAAACATCACTTTTAAAATTCTCCAACTCTGGGCCACCTTAAATCGAATCAATAGAATAAAAGAAATTCTCATAAAAACATAGGTAATCAAACATTACGAAGCTCACCTCGACGAATGTTATCAGTTTAAGTAATGCAAATCTCACATCATATTTTCTTAACATTTAGTATTTATCCTGACAACAATATTCAAGCAAGTTCAGTTTAAATAGGTCTTTAACTTTATTAGAGATTAATCTGTTCCAAAAACTTTAACCTGGTCACTCATCTAGAAAATGTAGGTCAGATCCAGCATCCGAAGCAAGTTTGGTTGTGTCCATCCCTAGATGCATCATCCATGCACGTTTGGTCTGGGTAGGGCTTCTAGTTATTTGGGAATGGACCTGTTCAAAAAACTTTAACCTGGTCACTCATCTGGAAAATGTAGGTCAAGATCCAGCATCCGAAGCAAGTCTGGTAGTGTCCATCCCTAGATGCATCATCCATGCAAGTTTGGTCTGGGTAGGGCTTATAGTGACTTGGGAATGGACCTGCTCCAAAAACTTTAACCTGGTCACTCATCTAGAAAATGAAGGTCAGATCCAGCATCCGAAGCAAGTCTGGTAGTGTCCATCCCTAGATGCATCCTCCATGCAAGTTTGGTTCAGGTAGGTCTTATACATGTAGTTACTTGGGAATGAAAATGTAGGTCAGATCCAGCATCCGAAGCAAGTCTGGTAGTGTCCATCCCTAGATGCATCATCCATGCAAGTTTGGGCTGAGTAGGGCTTATAGTGACTTGGGAATGGACCTGCTCCTAAAACTTTAACTGGGACGCCGATGCCGATGGTATAGCATAAGCTCATCTTGACTTCGTCGAGGTGAGCTAAAAACAGCTGGGTCCATATAGTCTTTCTTTTCTTTACTGTCAGATACATGTACACTATACATATACTTTGAAAGCTGATATTTTATATGTGTAACTATATATATACATCTAACTTCCGAGTAGATGTATATATATACATGTAGTTACACACTTTTTTTTTACACTGTATAAGCATATATTTCCAATATGCATTTATTGAAATAAAGTTCTGGAGCAATTTCCACCATACAAATACATGACACACATTTGAAACTTGTACAACTAACCAGCTACACATGCATATTGCTAGAATTGTTGTGATTTATACATGTAAGAACTATTAAAAAATTTGATTTTGATTACAGTTTTTTAGATAGAATTTTATTTTGTGGCTGTACGGTCCTGTACCTGTCGATTGTCATATCTTTCTGCAAGCTGTGCATTGTTTTCACACATCTCCTGTAGGGGGGCCCCACACACTTGGTAATTCCTGGCACAGTCCACAAAGTACTCCATCGATAAACACTTATAATAATATAATACAGATGTATATCAAATTAGACATTTGCACCTCAAAAGTAGTGCACTGAAAAATGCTTAATGTTAATACATGTACATTGTATGTAAATGAGAGTGAATCTAATAAGTACCCAATGAACATCAAATAAGAAGTAAGAAATTAATGGTCAAAAGGTATAAAAAATACTTTGAAAATGAATTAAAATGAAATGTACATGGAAAATCAACAAAACAAATTGGTTGAAAAATTTATTCATATGGAAGAAAAAAATGTGAGGTTTAAATTGATCACTATTGTGCAACTGTAAATCAACCTCCAACTAGATAATTAACATTCATAATTCATCACAAATGCAAGTGTTAAACAAGAAGCCCATGGGCCACATCGCTCACCTGAGAAGCTTTCACCATTCTGTTCTTTACCAGATTTCCCCCTTGTAATACATAATGCATCCCCACCCTACCCCACTAATCATAATTTAGACATTTTGAAATCTACACTACCCCAGGATCCTTCCATGTGCACATAAGTTTCAGCTTTTCTGGCCCAGTGGATCTTGAGAAGAAGATTTTCAAAGATTTTTCCTATATATTTCTATGTAAAATTTTGATTCCCCATTGTGGCCCTGCCCTTCCAAGGGGGTCATGATTTGAACAATTTAGTATCTACACTATACCAGGATGCTTCCACATAAGTTTCAGCTTTTCTGACCCAGTGGTTCTTGAGAAGAAGATTTTCAAAGATTTTTCCTATATATTTCTATGTAAAACTTTGATTCCCCATTGTGGCCCCGCCCAACCCCTGGGGGTCATGATTTGAACAATTTAGAATCTACACTACCCCAGGATGCTTCCACATAAGTTTCAGCTTTTCTTGCCCAGTGGTTCTTGAGAAGAAGATTTTCAAAGATTTTTCCTATATATTTCTATGTAAAACTTTGATTCTCCATTGTGGCCCCGCCCTTCCCCTGGGGGTCATGATTTTTACAATTTAGAATCTACACTACCCCAGGATGCTTCCACATAAGTTTCAGCTTTACTGGCCCAATGGTTCTTGAGAAGAAGATTTTTTACTGACCCCACCCTATTTTTGTCTTTTCTTGATTATCTCCCCTTGTGAGGGGACTTGGCCCTTTATTTTAACAATTTAAATTCCCCTACACCCAAGGATGCTTTGTACCAAGTTTGGTCAAAATTGGCCCAGTGGTTCTTGAGAAGTGGAAAATGTGAAAAGTTTACAGACGGACAGATGGACGGACGACGGACAAAATGTGATCAGAAAAGCTCACTTGAGCCTTCGGCTCAGGTGAGCTAAAAATATATCCCATACAGTTCTGTAACAGAGATTTACATTAATGGTAAAATGAAGATGCTACGGCACATGTATATCTACTAGGTTTTTTACAGTAAACCTTTGACATGCACTTTACTACATGTGTATATAGACAAAACTGCATGTTCCACAAAATCTCTATAAAAAACAATAAAATATCTGTAATGTTAACGTTATTACAGGGACATGTAAGTATATCTTACCTTTGAGGGTTTAGTAATCACAAACATGGTACTGTTTTTGTAGGCAAGAAACTCTTCATTTTTTGACACATCTTTCTTGGTTGTCGTAAAGAATCTTCCAGATCGCACTGAAAAAAAATGTGAAGTATTAAGTTCTTTCTACAATAAATTAATCCTAAAAGTAAACATGTCCAAGACAGTGAAAATCTTTGTTCACTGTAAAAATATGAAAGGTATGGCACGCCAAATTCACAAAAATGAGCTAATCATAGTTTCACAGTCAATAAACTAGATTTATCGGTTGTAAACTATAGTTTACGGACTGTTAACTATAGTTAACGAAGTTAATCTATATTTTACATCTGTAAACTATAGTTAACGCGATAATCTATGTTTCACAACTGTAAACTATACTTAACACCGAAAACAATCATTTGTGATTGCAAAACATAGATTATCTGATACGATTTATAAACTATGGTTTACAACTCTTAACTATAGTTAACGTTCGTAAATTATAGTTTACAGACGTGAATCTAAGAGTATGTTTATCAACAAAATCTATTGTTAATGTTTTATTACAGACAGATAAACTTAGATTAGCATTCGTAAACTATAGTTAACAACCGTAAATATAGTTTTACAGATGAAAACTATACTTAACGAATCGTTAACTATAGTTTACGGTTTGTAAACTATAGTTTACAGTCAATAAACCTAGTTTATCAATTGTGAAACTAGGTTTAGCTAATTTTTCTGAATTTGGCATGCCATAGAAAGGGTTTGTTTTTTAAGATCAATATTTTAAGAGTAATTTTTCTTTTGCAAATTAATTTTACTCCCTGAAAAGAAAAAAATTGCTTGCTAAATGAGAACTTTCTTTGAGTGTAACATTGTGATATTATCAATATCTATACAATAAGCTCTCATTATGAATGGGAAGTAACTCTAACGGTACCAATCTTGAAACTAAAAATGAATATTTATGCTTCTCTCAAAGTGAATATCATAACATTCACAGAATTTAATCCCACTCTAACCTGTTAGATCCGGTTTTTCTAAGGTAGCGTAAGAAATATCTCCGTGTATACTCATGTCCAACCCCGCGGGAACTAGGTCATCTGCCGGCCTCTTGGCATCTTTAAACACGTGCTGATACAGATACGTGTCTCGACTACAGCTGTAAAGCACATGCGGGTCATCTTTCCTCCAGATAATACCTGCCAGGGTAAAAATTTAAATGAAACTAGACATTCTTATAATGATAAATCTGTACACCAAATTTCATTTCAGTTTGTGCAACAGTTGTGAAGAAAATGAGGGGAAACTTGTAAGACCGACCGACAGACTGATGGCAGCAAAACAATATGCACTCCCTTCTTTAAAAGGGGACATAAAAATCGTTCTTTGGATGTTAGAATGGAAATTAATGTTGCAGCTGTTGCAGAAAAAAATACATAACCGGTTTAAGCGGGTTATGTAATTTTTTCCTGCAATAGCTTCGACGTTAATACCCTACTAACAACCAAAGAAAGACATTTTATTTTTTATCTTTACATCTGTATGAAAAACATTCAAAGTCAAATTAAAAATGTTGGTCTTCATAAGAATTAAAGACAAGAGGCCCATGGGCCACATTGCTCACCTGAGTACTGTAGCTTAGAAAAAGTAGAAATTGGTTTATTATTGAAAAGTTGAATTCCAAAAGTAATCCCATGATCAATCATGGATTTGCTATTCTTCAAAGAATTTTCCCATATATTTCTATGTAAAACTTTGGTCGGCCATTTTGGCCCCGCCCTACCCCCTGGGGTCATGATTTGAACAAATTTGAATCTACACTACCTGAAGATGCTTCCATATAAATATGATGAATAATGGCTTTGTCATTCTTGAGAAGAAGATTTTTAAAGAATTTTCCCATTAATTTCTATGTAAAACTTTGGTCAGCCATTTTGGCCCCGCCCCACCCCCGGGGGTCATGATTTGAACAAACTTGAATCTTCACTACCTGAGGATACTTCCATATAAATTTGATGAATTATGGCTTTGTCATTCTTGAGAACAAGATTTTTAAAGAATTTTCCTATATATTTCTATGTAAAACTTTGGTCGGCCATTTTGGCCCCGCCCTAACCCCGTGGGTCATGATTTGAACAAACTTGAATCTTCACTACCTGAGGATGCTTCCATATAAATTTGATGAATTATGGCTTTGTCATTCTTGAGAACAAGATTTTTAAAGAATTTTCCTATATATTTTTATGTAAAACTTTGGTCGGCCATTTTGGCCCCGCCCTTCCCCCGTGGGTCATGATTTGAACAAACTTGAATCTTCACTACCTAAGGATGCTTCCATATAAATTTGGTGAATTATGGCTCTGTCATTCTTGAGAAGAAGATTTTTAAAGAATTTTCCTACATATTTCTATGTAAAATTTTGGTCGGACATTTTGGCCCCGCCCTACCCCTGGGGGTCATGATTTGTACAAACTTGAATCTACACTACCTGAGGATGTTACCCCATAAGTTTCATCTTTCCTGGCACAGTGGTTCTTGAGAAGAAGATTTTTAAAACATGCCACCAAATTTTCATTAATTCCCAATTATCTCCCCTTGAATGAGGGCGTGGCCCTTCATTTGAACAAACTTGAATCCCCTTCACCCAAGGATGCTTTGTGGCAAGTTTGGTTGAAATTGGCCCAGTGGTTCTTGAGAAGAAGTCGAAAATGTGAAAAGTTTACAGACAGACAGACAGACAGACGGACAGACAGACAGACGGACAGATGGACGCCGGACAAAATGTGATCAGAAAAGCTCACTTGAGCCTTCGGCTCAGGTGAGCTAAAAAAAATATTCAGTGGATGTAAATATATGTAGATTACTCACTCTATCAATATATTTCAAATTAATGGTCAGAATTTAAACTATTAGAATAGTACCAGACAAACTGATTGAATATATAATTATGTAGATAAATCTTATTCTATTTACCAGGATGGGTAAAATCATATGCATTCAAGACATATTAAATGACTTAAATTAGTTTATTTTACTTATTTCACTTCTTTGTAAACTTGATAAAATAAATTCATGGTAGATTAATATGTTTTACCTTTTTAACATTAAATGATATGAAGACAAATGTAGAGATTGAAATTTAAACAAAAATATGATATAATTCCCAACTGGAATAAAGATAATAATAATCATTGATAAAAACGAAAGTGGTCATGTGATGAATATTATTTATTAGGGTCAAAATCAATAAAACAAAAAGAACAGTACCTGTAGCAACATCTGTGTGTTTGTCAAATGAAGCAAATGGTACATAGGGTCTATTGATGTCCCACACACTGACAGAAAAATCCACCACAAAGGAGCAACTGGCAATAAAGTGACGTCGCTGGGGACGCCACCTTATCCTAGCGACAGATGCCAACGTGTGAATCTGATGCACCACCTGAGTTTTAGGGAAATCCCAAACCTGTAAAGAAAACCTAGGTTTTTATCTCATACAAGTGGATGATACAGCCCATTGGATAAATCTATGCTTTATCCACGAGTAGATGCTATATCAATAGCACTTTCGGTTTTGACATGATCCCTCGCTTCAAGATTTTATTTTATTGAAACTTTTATTTGTAAAAATCCTTGCCCTTATAAAATCAATGATAAAGAGCAATAATGTTGTTAAAAGCAAGAAAAAGACTTGTATATGTCAACGAAGTATCTTATTTTATCAAGGTACAGGAGCTGTACTGGCTACTTGAAGACGGATGTTACCCCCCCCCCCCCCTTCCTTTAAATCGTCTTCGGAGAAAGTAAAGCCTAGCAGTTAAGTTGTTGTTATAATTAAGATTCCTTTAACATCTTCAACAATGCTTTTGTATATTATACTTCTTATGCCTACTTAGTAATGTAGGTGTACCTTACCATGGATCAACAATGAATCTACAAGTAGCCTTGTCTAACGTTAGCACGTTTTGAACTGGTACCGTACAAATCGTTAATTTTCATGATCCATCGGTCCTTACAACTTTTAGTCAGAAGTTCGCTTTATGTAAAGATCCAGCAATTGTCACATAATGTTTTCAAAGACACAGATGGCAAAATTTCTAAATTTTGAAGACGATCTACTTTCTTTCGAGGCATGTAAAAATCAACGGTGCAATGTCATCAAGTTATACTTCATCAATTTGAATAAAAATCATTCATTTAGTTTTACAGGGGAAGTCTCAAAGTTTTGTAAAAACGAAAATCGTATGAGATAAATAGTACATCTATAATTGTTTGATTTGATATTGGCTTTATCCATTTCATTGAAATGGTGTATATTCGCTCGGCAAGCCACACGAATATATACACCATTTCAACTCGTTGGATAAAGCCAAAATCAAATCATACAATATAGATATCCTCTATATATATAAATTTCAGCGGTACCCATTTCAGTGAATACTGTAAACATTGGTATACCAACTTTTATTTGCGTGTGAGATATTTTCGGTACGTGTGTGCGGGAGCATTGATATCGCGAATATTTCTCGCCATGAACCGGTCCTAAAAGCCGCTGTGTCTATATTATCAACAGATTCAAGAAAGGCTTAATCGGGAAAATTAATTGTCGCAAACTAGTTTACCCCATTATTCGCAAAATAAAGTCGTCGCAAATAAAAGTTGATTTACAGTATTCTTTACCTGTTGGCTGTTGTGCTTAACGAAATTAAACATACAGTAAAACTCGTTTAGTACGAACAGGGATATTGCGAATTTACAGATATAGCGAAGTTATCTTGGATCCCCAGCTATATAAATTTAACGAGTTCTTTAAGATAAAAGATAAGATAATATTTATTTAAAGTCGGGTACATCAACAAAGAACATTAGCTCTGTAGAGCTATTTTCTGACTACGGATAAAACGAATTACAGATACAGCGAAGTGATTTCACAGGTCCCGACTTCGTTATAACCGAGTTTTACTGTATACAGTTAAACTTTGGTATCTCAAACACTGATATCTTGAATACCATAGATATGTTGAAGTGATTTCAAAGTCCCAAACACTTATTCTTTAAATATTTTACCCTCAATATCTCAAATCCTCAGATATCTTGAAAGTGTTTTTTTTTTTTTTTTCGACTGGACTGAATTCGAGATAACTGTATTTTTTTAAAAGTAAAGAAATTTACAATTCTTACTTTGATTGTCTTATCTCGACCTCCAGTAGCAAACAAGTTCCTCTCCTCGGGGTGCCAATCTATGGTGAAGACAGGGCCATTGTGAGCTGCAGTGATTTGTTTCTCCGGCCTATCAGGCCGTCGCATGTCCCACATCTAAGACAAGAGTTAACAAAGGATAACAAAGCTCAACTTAATAATTATTAACTATATGGCAAAGTCCCAGATCAAATGAATGGTCATAATGAAGCTCAGATCAAATGAATGGTCATAATAAAGCTCATTTTTTCATAACAACGTTTAAGGTCAAGATCTAGTAAATGGAAGGTGCCTACAGATTTTTCAAATTTAAGAAATCAATTTCTTTAATGATGCTTTATAACATTAGCTTGGTCAAAATAGGTGTTTTGGGGCATAATTTGTAGCAAAACAAGATGAAAAACCTTATTTAAAACTGTCATTTTCAATGAAAAATTAAGAAAACCAGTATTGAAAATGAGAGTTTTTTCCATATCAGACGAAGAAAATGTATCCAGATTGCCTACAGTTTTTCAGAAAACTGTCATTTGTATGTTCTTAGTCTCTACTTTAAAATAATGTTAAATTTAAGATAGGTATCGGGACTACTTTTCATGTGATTTCAAATTGAATTCCAATGAAAATACTTTATTTTCTACATAATTCTATTAGAGCCGTAAAGTACAGGAAAAAGAAAGTTGAAAGTGATTATGACGTCACAATGGATTTAGCACTGAAAATTTATTCTAAAGTCATTTACTAGATCTTGACCTTAAGTGAATTTAAACTGAGTAATTGAGTAGTAAAAGTACTACATATTGCAAGAATAATAAATAATTTGTTCACTAGAAATCTAAGCGAATGGAAATTGCATAATAGAAATCTAGAGGCTAGAAGGCCTGTGTTTAGCTTTATGCTGCATTTGATCTCCCTGTCACAAGTCAAAAGCTGTTTAGGTAGGGCATCTCCAAAGTATCCCAACAAGCATGAATAGATGATGCATCAAGCGATGCTTACTACCAATTATGTTTCAAATGTTGAATTCATTCTAGTATATATATTTACAGAGTGGTCAGGTTCAGGTCTAAGGACACTATTAGCTCATGGTAGCTGTAAACCATACTTTTACAAAACTAAAATAAGAATTTAGCAACACAAGCTTACAAAAACTTCATGTCATGCTTAATGAATTTACCTTCACTCAATAATTCAGTTCAACATAGAGTCTGACACACAAAGAGAAACTTTAACAAATTTTCAGATTTATCCCCGCCAAGATTTACACACTTTTATTTCGTCACCAAAACTTACATGTACATTACCACTCTCATCAGCTGCTGCAAAGAAGAAGTCATTGAAGCGTGGAGGACACCACTGCACATCTCTGATACTATTTCCCGACTTAAACACACTGCTGGAAACATGCTTACGCAGATCCTGTTACGGAAAAAAAATAATAATGAAAAGGTCAGAAATAGTGAAAAGACCACAGTCAGACAATATAACTAAACAACTTTAAGCTTGAAAATATATTTTTCAATGCTTCTTCCGCTATAGATTAAATCTTACAAATAAATGTTATTCAAATCTTACAAAAAAAATGTTTTTCAAATCTTACAAATATATGTGACCAGGTAATTAATTCTTACAAACATATGTGACCAAGTAATTAATTCTTACAAATATGTGTGACCAGGTAATTAATTCTTACAAATATATGTGACTATAGGTAATTAATTCTTACAAATATACCGGTATATGACCAGGTAATTAATTCTTACAAATATACCGGTATATGACCAGGTAATTAATTCTTACAAATATATGCATGCTTCCATCCTGAGATCCGCTGAGTAAAAGGTGAGCGTCATTCTCGTGAAAACGAACCCGATTTACCGTCCGTGTGTGGTGGCCTTGGAAGACATACTCTACAAAACAGTGGTAATCAGAAATTTTATATTTGTTCAATACATGAAACATATTTCATGATTTTATATTCATTCAAAGGTCAAGTCATACAGAGATACTGATGGTGTATATCAATCATATAAAAAGAATTCTATATCTGAAAATACTACATGTAACTAGCGAAAAGAACTTCTTATTTGACCTTTCAAGTCAGGATTACTTGTGAATGAAGAGTCATGAAATTTATTGGTACTGAAGTGGACAAAATGCAGGGAATTTATACTATCCCACTTGAGAGCTAGCTCTTCTAGTGATGCAGTAGTGTCTTCCTATACTCATGCATACTAAGGGAATCAAGAACCTTCAGACTGATGACTGCTTCAGGTTACAGTATACAGCATAAAATACGTGCCAATTATATAAATATCATATACTTATACTCTAAAAAAATTTAAAAGTCTAGTTCTAAATAATTCCAGAAACAATTACTGTAGATGTAGTTTTTTCCACAGGGTCATAATTCCGTGGAATCTCAATTTCTGTTTAATCCTCCCCTGGTAGAAAATTATGCAGATTTCTTAGACTGTCACTAAATGCCTTACATTCATATTAAGTACGCCTGGACAAATTTCCGCGGATAATTTGTGAACGCGTACATAGCGTAAATTAATACCACATGGTTAAAAGTACTTCAACAGTATATGTACAAGACTTCTCAGCATCCAATACATAAAATTCCCTGATGGAACAGAAATTTTATGCATTTGAGACCTTAAGACAGCTCTTTACATGTACATGTATATATTAATCCAGTTGCTATGACTACACACCTACCTTGCTTAGAGTGAGAATGACGATTTAAATCCCAGAGAACCACAGAACCATTGGTTGCAGCAGACGCTAGATAGTGATCTAAAAATACATATTAACGGTACATGCCATTAAGAGGGCTGGGTGGTTTTGGCCATTTTTAGTTTATTATAATATTTATCTCCCTTAGAAGAAGAGCTCCATATAATATTAATAATACTATTGATTTCTGCACAGTAAGTATAATTAAGTTAAACATCTATTAACTCTCCTAATTTTAAACATACCTTCAATATGATTCCATGCCACATCAGTAGAGCTAAAATTTAAATTGAGATTTTTTCCCACCCTGAGGTTCAACTTTTCTTCAAATTTATCTTCTTCAATATTATAGATCTTGAATACTGAAATAAAAATGTTGTGCATGATTCACTAAAATCTATACTTTTTGAAGACTTTTTTACAATTTTATAAAAAAGCAAAATAAATCCATTAGAGTAACATGTCACATTTACAGAACTTTAATTTAAAAAAATTTTCTTGTTTAAATGGCCTTTTTTTTGCACAGCTACAGAAAAATATACAGGTTTATCAGAGAACTACAGTGACTCAGTGAGTGTTGTGAATAAAGAACTCACAAAAATTTCAGGCTGCAGGTACTGCAGCTTGAAAGACTTTAAAACAACTGGCATTAAGTGGTGTGTGAATAGTCAAGCTATACAGCACTGGAAAAATGAAATATTTACCATTTTCCCCTGCCATTACCACTTGTAAATTATCCTGTCATTAAGTTGTATGTAAAGAATCATGCTATTCATCATTAGAATTATGAACTATGTACCATCAAAACCACTTGTAAGTTGTCGATCCTGTCATTAAGTGGTGTGTTCAGAAATACATGTGACAAACCTACCCTTTCTCCCAACCACCACTTTTACGTTATCTTAGCTGCCATTAAGTGGTGTGTATAAAATCATGCTAAATACCATTAAAATAGCGACCTACCATTTCTACCTGCCACTACCACTTGTGAATTATCTTAGCTGTCATTAATTAAGTGGTGTGTATAAAATTGTTCTAAACACCATTAAAATAGGGACCTACCATTTCTACCAGCCACTACCACTTGTGAGTTATCCTTGCTCGTGTCCAAGGCATTAATGGCTCCTTCACAGTTTACACACAATGTTCTCAATGGGTTAGGAGAAACTGGAAATAATGAAATGGTTCTTAAGACTAAAACAATCCTGTATATGCATAAACTTTACATGAGGTTTAGATTTCATGAAGTTAGTTCCTGTATTTTTCATTTGGGATATCAGTGAAAATGATGAATTCATGAAAAAAGCAAAAACATACGAACTTGTTTTTCTAGAATTTTACATTTATTTCAGTATACACATGTAAAATAAAAGTGCAGGAGTATAGTTAGTGGTGCAAATTATGTAATAATTATTTAACATGGCTGATTGCATATATTTAGAAAACTTCAATACTTTCGGGCTATTAAGAGAAACTTCTTAAAACTCAAGTTACCGGGTAGTTCTACTATACGAACTGAATGAACATTGGGAATGATATTCCTTAAAACACATTTTCATAGAATGATTTAGTTTATATTTTTATATTGGATTTTATATAATCATTAATCAGGGAACCATTATGAACATTAATTACATGATCAAATATGAAAAACTACATGCAGTTCAGATGAAATGTTTTGGGGGAAAAAACTGAAAACAGAAAAGAAACATGTAATTAATAATTGCAGCAAAAACATACAAACTTGTTTTTCTAGAATTTTACATTTATTTCAGTATACACATGTAAAATAAAAGTGGAAAGTTAAGTAATAATTATTTAACAGCACTGCAGCAAAAATGATGAGCTTCAAATTCAAAACAGAGAGTTAAAACACATTTTCTAGAAATGTTTAATTTTTATTTGTAATAATCATGTTGAACATTAATTGGCTAATGCACTGAAATGTTTGAAGCAGTAAAACAGAAAAGAATGTAACGAATGAAAGCTTTTTTATTGTGACGTCATAATAGAGAGACGCAAAAACACAATGCTCCGTGACGTATTTCATGTACCAAAATTCAACAAAATAAGATGTAAACAACAAACAAAATGCGTGGATTGCAGCAAAAATTTGATGCGACCGTTAATGTTGATTTTCAAAACAGCTTACGAACCGTTAAATTAACGGTTACCAAATAATTAAAATAATTAAACTAATACATCAATATTAAAACAAACCAAACACACAAAATACATACATATACTCATTTTATCCAAATTGTAAACTTAGTAAACAGTGAGCATCTTCATGCACAAATACCATGTTAGTTATCTTCTGTAGAGGAATTTGACTGGAAATGAAAAGATTATAGTACTGTACCTTAAATACATCGTTGTTTGTGACATGCAGGAATTAAGCACAAAGTCAACTGAGAGAATGATTCAAAAACTAGTAACAAAAAACAATGCCTTAATCAATCTGTAATTTTTGCAGTACTGGAATACACTAGACAAGAGGTAGATACTGTTACTAGTAGAAAATTACGAGATAAAAGTTTTACCTCTGTCGTGGACCACACGAGAGACATTGTGGACAACATTCATCCCTCACTTTTTATATGGATTGCCCTCTCTCATATCCACTGTAGTCTTCTGCATCATATATAATTCATAGTTATCATGTAATACAGCTTTACATGCAACAGATAAACATGTAAACAGAAGTTTTACTTATTAAAATGATTTATCTATATGGTCAAAGATAAATGTTTAAAAAACATTCTATGCTATGCATGATTTCCCATGAAATTCCACAAATTTCACACATAAAACATTTTTACTGAATTGAATTGATTCACCCCAAAAACCTTTGTGACATTGTTAACTTTATGATGATTGAGTGAGGCTGATTTCATCAGTCTAAGAATGTCTGTTTGACACTTTCATTGATTTTTTTCTCTTGTTAAATCTGAACACAATAAACTTCTTATATGAAATGCTGCTATGAAGACTGAGAAAATCATTCAATAAAGATTACATTTCTTCAAAACATGTAAATCTTTGTGTTTACCAAGTTTATCTATAAAAGATATGTATCAAACATGATTTATGAAAATTTTCTTCCAGTGACCTTGAACTTTCCCAAATGACCTTGGATCAAGGTCATGACACACCCTTGGGTCATGGGCAATCTTTGTGTGAAATGAGAACCTACCGTGTTTACCCATAAGAAAGATATGGACCGGACACGAATTATGAAAATTTTCTTCCAGTGACCTTCAACTTCCCCGAATGACCTTGGGTCAAGGTCATGACACACCCTTAGGTCATGAGCAATCTTAGTGTGGAGTAGTAGATTCTAATGTCCCTCTGTAAGAAAGATATGGACCGGACACGAATGCACAGACAGACGGACAGACGGACGGACGGACAGACGGACAGACGGACAGACGGACAGACGGACAGACGGACAAGGTGATTCCTATATACCCCCCCAAACTTCGTTTGCGGGGGGTATAATAAACTTCTTATATGAAATGCTGCTATGAATGATAAAATCATTTAATAAAGATACACTTCTTCAAAACATGTAAATTTCCACTTCTTCCCTAAATCAGAGTAAATCCCATGTAAGGCCACAGATCAATACCACTTCATTGGGAAAAAATGAAGTTCATGTAAATTATTAGCAGAACTAAAAATGAGTATAGATGTTAAAAACATCAATGAATTACTGTACATGAATATTTCATCTCATCATGCTCATGTGCCTGAATGTAACATGGTTAAAGAAAAGAATGTTTTTTCTCTCGGTGTGTCATATAAAATATTTTAAAACAAATATAATTATATGTATTTGAAAAAAAAACATAAAGAAACACCTGTCTTAAGATTTTAAACATCTGTTATCTCCGTCCAGACAAAAAATTGTCAACATAACCTGAATAAATTTACTTTCATTTTCGAAGATGCTGGACATCTCTTTCTTTAACTTATTCGTACTGAAAATAACAATAATGAATGTTATACTTTGAGTGCTAATCTAATATCAAACATGCGATGTACAAATTATAAAACGTGTTTTTACTTTAAAGTATTTGTACCTGCGTTCAAAATACGTATTTATGAGGATTTTTGAAAGCAGGTTGAATATTTTTGAACGAGTTACTTTTTTGATTGTGCACATATTTTGTTGACGTCACGGAAAATGATGATATACAGATGGCGCACTTGGAAGTAAACCAACTTCTCCCAAAATTGACGTTATATTCCATCTCAGATTTGTTTATTGGCTGATTTTAAAAAGGAATGAATCCTATAAGCGTTTATGTAGCCACCTGTCGGTATGTCATGTCGGCACGTTTCACCGATCGCGAGACTTGGGTGGATCTGTATCGCTACCTCCCCTACCTAAGACAATCACTGGGTTGTTATGTGTGTAGAAACCTCGCACTCAACCCCCATTCACCATCACATAAGAACTGTCAACACTTCGTATGTAAAGATTGCATTGGTGGCAAGATGAAACTGAAACCTCAGTGCAGCTGGTGCAAGAAATACGATGGTTTTGTAGAAAATACACAGTTACGGATTGTTATTCTTGGATTTAAAAGGATTTGTCATTTCATTCATAGTTCACCAATCATGACAGCTCTAAGGGAAAATACTCTGAATGGGGAAAATGATAATTTAGTCCGGATAATTGAAGATGGTTTAAGATTCGAGGATGATTTCAAAATGTGCTCACCTATCCCACTACCACCAGTGTTATTACACAGTCAATTGTCACCGAGTGTGAAGAAATCTTCAGATTTACCAAAGGTAGATCTTGTACGACCCCTGCCCTCTACGTCAGAAACAACTAGTGAACAGGAAGATAATCTCTCTCCTCCTGTTTTGGAAAAATCTCAAGAAATAGACAAAGAACTTGAAATAAATGTTGACGTTGAATCACATGAACTGTCACCGACGACATCAGAAGAACTTATTGATGTTTGTAAGTTACCAAGTCCTAGTGAACAAGACAATAATTCACTTAAAAGAAAGAAAGAACCAGTTTTATCATTTGAAGCTTTCCAAAATACAAAATTATTAGAACACAGATTACTTGAAGTAAATTGCATTGGACCAAAGGGAGGTAACCTGAGGATCTCTTCTACTCCTATCGTGGAACTGTCAATGAAAAAATCAAAACATTCAAATAATCCAAGTGATGTTAAAATCTGTAAGTGTGGCAGAGGTGGAACAAATAGCAGATTGACTTGTCTAGGACAAAGATGTCCATGTTACATCAAGAAACTACCTTGCATCAACTGTAAATGCCGCGGCTGTAGGAATCCTAGGAAAGCTACCGCAACTAATTCTGAAATCTTATCTAACAACAATAATATTTCTGATTCTTCTTCATCTGTGGACACACAAGTTTCTCAAAATGAAAATATCTGTGTTGTGTAACAGTAATCATGTCCTCTAATCTATTGTGATAATTAAAGTGAAACTTAAGTATTTATTAATTTATTGCTAGAGTAATAAAAAATAAATGAAAAAAAAAATTATGTATCTGGCATGTCAGGGCAAAAGAATAAATTTTATTTTTGTTAATATATGGCTTTTAAAGTAAATAATTCTTGGATTTATTTTAGTGTGGTCTTCAGGTCTTGTGCATGTGGAATGAGAACTTAATATTAATAATGTTACTATTATGATTAATTTTGAGAAGTCTACATATTATATAGAATTGAACACATGTCATGTAATATAAATTGAAGAAACATATTCAAACTGTGTTTTAAAATTCATCCGAGTAAAACTGTTTTTTGAAACAAGGCATACATGCTATAAAAGAGATGTATTGTGTATTGTGTGAAAAGGAGGTAGTATTTTACTAAATTAGATATTGCATTCATATCATGTACATATAAATATGCCCTAATTACCATTTGAACCTTCTGAATGGTCTCATTGTGAAAAGAATTTTTTATACTTTTGAGCTCACCTGAGCCTTCAGTGAGCTTTTCTGATCGAAATTTGTCCATTGTCTGTCGTTGGGGTTGTCGTCGTGAACTTTTCACATTTTCATCTTCTTCTTAAGCACCACTGGGCCAATTTCTGAATCAACCAAACTTGTTACAAAGTATCCTTGGGTAATTGGGATTCAAGTTTGTTCAAATGAAGGGCCAAGCTCTCTTCCAAGGGGATATAATTATGAATTTTTGAAAATTAATAGCATCTATTTAAAATCATCTTCTCAAGAACCACTGGCCCAGTAATGATGGATCTCACGTGGAATCATCCTCAGGTGGTGTAGATTCAAGTTTGTCAAAATTGTGACCCTTGGGGAAGGGTGGGGCCACAATGAACGATCAAAGATTTACATAGGAATATATAGGAAAAATCTTTAAAAATCTCTTTCTAAAGAACAGCAGAGCCATGTTTGGTTGTATTAAAATGGAAGCATCTTTAGGTATTGGTAGTCTAAGTCCAGTTGAAGTTTGTTTATATAATGAACCGCGGCATGTTTAGGGATATTTATATGGAAACATCCTCAGATTGTGTATATAAATTCAAGATTGTTCAAATCAGAAATCCTTGGGGTAGGGTGGAGACACAATGTGGGATCAATTTTTACATAGGAATATGTACTGAAATATATTTAAAAAATTTCTGAAGAACAGCAAATTCGTGATTAGTGATTTTTTATATGGAACTTATGGAAGCATCCTCAGGTGGTTAATACTCAGATTCATGACCCCCCAGTGCCACAATGAGGGATCAAAGTCTTACATAAGAATATATTGGACAAAAAAATCTTCTCCAGCCAAATTGACTTGTAGGCATACGCATGCAGTGAAGATTCTTTTTTTTTTTTTCAAATCCCATCACCACCCAGGTTGGGTTTGGGGTTGGGGGTCTGGAGGAGCCACAGTTTGAGATCACTTTTTTACAAAGTAATATGTAGGAAAAAATCTTTAAAAAATTTTCTTTTCAAGAACAGCAAAGTTATACATGTATGCTATATTATAATGATATGGTGGTATCCTGAAAAAGTATAATATGCAAGCCCCCCCACCCCCCGAGCTGATTTGTGTTTTTACCTAGACCATGTGCTTAGATGAGCAATGTGGCCCATAGACCTCTTGTTTTAGTTTTTCTTTTAGAAAAGTATGAACATGTAGTGTTATTTGAATGTTGAATATTAGTGAGTTATTGTGTCTTTGTAATGTACATTTACAGAACTTGTGAAATATTGAGTTTTAGTTCATGTGAAAACTGCTTTTGTGTTTATGCAGTCTTGATGTACACATTTTGCAATATCCATCATGTCCGTTGTTCAGAATATTCACAGACACGAACTGCATTCATGAGTTTCATATTTATTACAAATAAACTGAGTCAAATCCATTTCTGAACAGGAATTTCAATTTTTGTTAATTACCTTTTAGCATGTACATATAAAGACTTAGATTTTGTTTCAATTGACCTGAAATCTAAAAATAACACGCTAAAATATGTAGAAACCAGACACATGCAAATTGAAACTGCAGCACATGACCAATTCTCTGTTATGATGTAGTTTTGTTCTTGTTAACATAAATTTACAGGAATTTCAAAAAAGTTTAAATGTTCCCTCCATGCCTTCAAATATTTTAATTCATATTGCATCATGTACATGTCAATTTTTTATTCTCAAAAATATGAACAAAGCGGGCTCTTTGTCAATTATAAAAAAACATTTTTTTTAAAAAATATATTTTATTTTTTAAAATATATTTTATTCATTATTATTAAAAACATTTCAGTGATATAATGTAAAGTTAATCCATGTTTGTAGCACTTCCTCATTTGATGTTCAAATAATAAAGCATGATGATGTCTTGAAGACTTTTTTCACTGTATAGTCTTGACTCCCTTTGTTTAAAGGTGCATATACGCAGATTTGAAGGTAATATTTATGTGCTTGGATCGATAGATCCAGGGCACAGGGGCCTGTAACATACTGTATTTGATTTTACGTAATCACCATATGTATACCTTTGAAACAACGTAACTCGAATTTACACTGGGTCAATCTCGGAAATGACTCGTGTTTTCAATAAAATACCTTGCAGTTAGTGAAATAACGTCTGGGATCATTCAGTAATCATCACTCTTTAATAAAAATACCATCACGGTCATTTAAGAATCGTGTAAGTCGTGTTTTGCAGATCCGATATTCTGTCATGCAAGTGATGTAGTTTTCGTCCACTAAATTCGCTAAACATTGCATCCAATATTTAACGCATAAGAGATGTGATTGGTCAATGGTGCATATATAATAGGATCTGACCATATCACGCTAGCCTTTTACCAAATTTTTTCCAAAATGACACCAAGGTCAATGACTCTTGTGACCGTATTGATTGTGTACCTTTTAATTGCAATTAACAAAAAAAAGATGATTTTCGTGAACGCCATAACTTTGTGTTTTCCATCCGCTGAAAGACTTCAAAACTGGAGAAAATGTGCGAATTTTGCCTCGTTTTAAAAGTGGACGACCAAAGTACATCGATGACACAACGGGATATCGAGTTGTATTACCCAACTTAAACGCTATAAAAAGTAGGTTTCTGTTTTACTAAAGAATATTTATTGTAGTATGATTTCTAGTTATAATTTAATTGGCTACATTCTTTTTTCTATGAAATACGAAATATTTCCTATCGACCCTGTGTAAATTCGGGCATTTCCCTTTCCTTCTTTGTATATATATATGATTACGTAAAATCAAAAACAGTATGTTAAGTTATCCAGGGCTGTCAAAATCTGTTTATCTGTGTGTGTCTGTTGTCAACTTTATCCTTTGCAATAACTTTTGAACTATAAGAGATAGAGACTTCATATTTGGTATGCATACTCCAATAATAAAATTCTTTCAAATGACACCAAGGTCAATGACTGTGACCTTGATTGTGACCTATATGCTAAAAATAGCTTTTTCAAACTTCGCCATAACTTTTGAACCGTAGGAGATAGAGACTTCATATTTGGTATGCATTCTTCACTAATTAAGTTCTTTTAAATAACACCAAGGTCATTGACATTGTGATCTTGACTGTGATCTACAATGTATATGCTACAAATAGCTTTTTCGAACTTTTGCCATAACTTTTGAACCCTGAGAGATAGAGACTTCATATTTGGTATGTACATGTATACTCCACGAATGAAGTTCTTTCAAATGACACCAAGGTCAATGACCTTGTGACCTTGACTGTGACCTATGTGCTTAAAATATCTTTTTTGAACTTTGTTGCCACAGGGCACATAGTGTTTAACAAACACATCTTGTTTCTGTATTAGATTGCGACTTCTATATTGTAATAGCTTTTCACATGAAAATATATTAAAAATCTTATTTCATCTAAAAGATATTAAAACTTCAAAATTTTGGATGTGTGTGATCACTGACACATTCTTAATACTTAGGAAAAGTATTAATAAAAATATTAATTTAGGGAAGTGAAAATTTCGTAAACAAAATGGCAATGCAACTGTATCTAGGCCACTTCAATACTATTCTGATATTAGTTCTGTAAGTGCTGTTGTTAAGCAAGATTGATGTAGATGGCTGAGATGTGAAGTGCTCACATTCAATTTGAAAAGCAAAGAGGCCCATGGACTACATTGCTCACCTGAGCATCATTGTTAGGAAAAAAACTACCCTTAAAGAGGAGGGGTATGATTTGAACAAACTTGAACCTAAACTACTATGGATGCTTACATATTTCTTACACTAACTTTGGCTTTTTTATCCTTTAAGTTTGAACTTTATATACATTCCTGGTCCCCTTAACAAACTCGAATCAACACTACCTGAGGATGTCTCCCCATTAGTTTCATCTTTCTAAGCACAGCTAGTGTTTCTTGAGAAGATTTTTAAAATGTATGCTACCAAATTTTCACTTTCTGAATTATTTCCCTTTGAATGAGGGCGTAGCCCTTCAATTGAACAAATGAGAATCCCTTTCACCCCAGGATTGTTTGTGGCCCTACCCTCTGAGGTCATGATTTGAACAAACTTGAATCTAGTCACTACCTGAGGATGTTTCCATATAAGTTTCATCTTAATTTCCTACCTGAGGATGTTGCAGATAAGAGATGGGTACACCAAAGCGTAATATATAGCTAGACGGACGGACGATGGATGTACGTCCTGACATCCGATCACTGTAAACCGTTCCACTTTTGAAGTGGGGGTGTGGTGGGGCATCAAAAATGAATGCAAAAGTTAACTTTGATATAAGCCCATTTATACCCATCAAATTGCTCATTTCTTTCCATAATCCTCTAACACTAAACACCTTATCTTATCCTTCTTCAATGAATAAAAAGTCTGTAAAACAGTTTGTCGTGTGTTGCCATCTTTGAGACGTTTCTCAAAAGTATTACTAATAATGTCAATAATTATAGCAGGCAGAAAGATCAGAAATAAAATAACTTTGTAATGGGAAATAATCCAAATCTCCACTTACCGGGTATTAACAAAAAAATAGCATGAGATCAGTGGCGAAAAAGCTTAATTTCTCTGAATGTGTTGATATCCTCAATTAAAAATATGCCTGGACAAACAAATAGATTTACTATAGTATTCTCATAAAATTTATTATATTATGTACTAAGATGAATTTAATTTGACAAAATCTCGGAGTGCTGTAAGAACCTGTTTAAATAAATTCTCGCCCTCTCTCAACAATATACAGTATATATAATAAATGTGTCTTATTGAAAATTTTTATTAGAAATTATGAAAGAAAAAATATTGAATATTGCATTAATTATGTTATCACTATAAATACATAATATTTCAAACATTAATATTTTTTGGATTTGAGCTCTGCAAATTACACAATTACAAAAGAAAATGTATCACAAACAGTGGCCTGCTGAAGTAGTCTCCCTTTAATTAGATATCTGACATATTATTCACACACATTTCATAATTCTTAGAAGATTAATTTTTAAGTGCATTAATTGGTCAATCAACGTTGATCTAATGTAGAACTTTTCCACTGTTTCTCACAAAAATGGTGTGCTAGTCTGTGTCCATCACTGCAGTTATCCAAGAATATCCATCATTATCAATCAATCCAAGTTTGTTTGCTAGTTAATGTGTCCATCACTGCAATTATCCAAGAATATCCATCATTATTAATCAATCCAAGTTTGTTTGCTAGTTTGTGTCCATCACTGCAGTTATCCAAGAATATCCATCATTATTAATCAATCCAACTGTGAAAGTTATTATTCATGGAAAAAAATGGCTCCTCCTCCCAAAGGTTGGAACTCCCAACCAAAGTTAGATAATGGACAAAAGCTAAAAGAAAATGAAATGTTTAAATATATAGTTAATATAAAAAAAAACTTACATACTGAAATCAAGCATGAAATATATAATGTTCAAATTTTATTAAATCTTTTGTCCACATTGGAGTAATTTTTTCACATGACTCACTTGTAAAACACCTACTCTAGGGGTCATGATTTGAACAGATTTAAATTTGCAATACAAGATGCTATATGCATATAAATATGAATTGATCATGACTTTGCTGTTCTTAAGAGAATTTTTTTCTGAATGTATTCCTCCCAGGTATATGAAGTTTTAGTTGCGGCCTCCCCACCCACATACCCCTTAGTTATGATTTGATCAAACTTGAATGTATAAACTGTGGAATGAATCTTTCACATAAGTTTGAATGGCTATTTCATTGCAATTAAGACCTTTAAGACAACTAAAAGTTAATGAAATGACATGAAATTTGCAAAAAATGTCTATTAGCTATTTATCTTTCATATCCTAGTGCATCAAAATTTATTTTTGTACCTAAGGGATGAAAAATGGGTGATAACTCTTCTAGCATAATACAGGAACCACCAGGCTTGAAGGGTATAAAAACTTAGACGAGCTCACTTTTGATCTCAGTCTCACTTCTCCACTAAATATTCCTTTGGTAAAAGTGAGACTGAGATCAAAAGTGATTTCGTTTAAGTTTTATGGGCCCCAGGCCAAGAGCTGAAGCAGTGAGATGAAGTTTCTATGACCCGGGCCAAGTGAGGTCCAGCCAGTAGACACCTACATGGAATCAGTGTCAGATGACCGAAATTCAAAATTATACAAAGTACTTCACCAAGAAAAGACTGCTAAATTGTGGAACAATGCATTTAAAGAACACTCACTGAAGTTTCCAAACTGTAATGACCATTCACTGGACTGGTATCAGCATGGGGAGGAAAAACAAGGCCTGGCATGGATCCTTTCTATCTAATGTAAGAAGTGCCAATATACCATTCATAGAGAAAAGCTCTATGAAGAGGTAAGAAGATCTGTAAGGGGTCGAAGAGTTGCACGGCTAAATGTGACCATGGCTGTTGGTCACTTAGGTACCACAAGTAGAAGGTAAAAGCATGACTTCTTGGTGCTAATGTTAAAACAGCAACATCCACCAACATGCAACAAACTGTAACAAAGTAGGGAAAATTATCACAGACATGAACAAAACTATAATGAAAAAAAATAATGCAGAACATTCAAGAACTTATTGAATCCAAAGTCTCTGACAAGACTTTAGCTCTACTGGTTTACACTTATAATGAAGGAAGAGAAAAGTAGCTTGAAACTTAATTTGCAACAGCAATAAATAAATTAAAAACTGATCATTGGTTTAGTCATTTTCTTGGCAAGATTTATTGAAATCAAACTTAAACTGTAGGAGGAGTAGCATTTTGAAAATATTTCAAAGAAATTTCTCTTTTAAGTAACCATGGCAACAACATTCATCCAAATCAAAAAACCAATAGAAAGAATCAAGTATCTTAGTGTAGTCCACTTGTGTGCCAAGTTATATTGAAATAAGACCAAAACTATAGGAAGAGTAGCATTTTGAAAATACATGTATTTCAAAGAAATTTCTATTTTTAGTTACCACAGCAATGCCATTCATTGAAATCAAAAACAGATAAATAGAATTATGTATCTTAGTGTAGTCTACTTGTGTGCCAAGTTATACTGAAATCAGACCAAAACTGTAGGAGGAGTAGCATTTTAAAATATTTTTGTTACCATGGCAACACCATTCAAAAATTGTTAGTCTACTTGTGTGCCAAGTTATACTGAAACATGAGACTGATGGACACCTTAATTACTATTGCAATTAAGCTCTTCTAGTCTTTAACCAGTAGAGCTAAAAATGTGGACTTTCTGTTACCTCCATCAGAGCAGAGGGAGATGCCCTATATAATATAGCTACTTTAAGTGCCAATTAGGAAACCCGGCCCATACCATTAGCTGCCACCCAAGTGACATATACCGTAAGTGAAAATGTCACTCAGAGGAAAGATGTTATGGCAGTGTTCTGTGGGAAAAAGGAACACACCTGGGAAACAATTATAGGAAAGGAAATTACCTGCCCAGGACATGAAGACTGCACTGCAAGCATTCCTCCGGAGACACCACTGGAGACAAGAAGAGATGGGTCACTAATTGTGTTGGTGAGTTACAAAGTGATGACTGTCCACTAGTCATATCCCATTTCATCAGTGATGGAGACTGTGCCACTGCATCTGGTGCATCTGAAAAACAAGAACATATGATTGAAAACCTTAAGGACTTGCGTCACTTCTTTGACTATCAAAGAAAACAGACTGCTAAGGCTCCACTCAGCAGTAACATCTTTTCAGAAAGAACCAACACCATTAGATAATCCATGCAGAGAACATTTGCCTTGGACCTGAAGCTTCAATACAGGACAGAGTACAAGAATTGCTACAAACACTGCTCCGGAGACTTACCTTTGATGAAGCATGCTATGTCTACTGCTGTTGGCTCTATTGTAAGCTGCAGCTACACTGTACCATGCAAAGACAATGTGGATAATGTCAGCTTAATCCTTTATCTGTCGTAGACTCACTGGACTGAAAGCAATAAGTGAAAATCTTTGGTATTTTCAAGTGACTTTGAATTAAACATTACAGAAGAAGGCAAATGTTTAAAAGACTTTAGGACCATGGTGTAATCTAATGATAAAATTAACCATCTTATTACTTGTTCATAAAAATCTGAATCAGTCTGTGAATATTTAAACATTAAAAATCAAATCCAAAATGTATTACAAGTATTGAAATTTTTAAGTAGAATACTGTAAACCAAGTTTTATTCGCATGCGAGAAATTTTCGCGAGGTTCACGAGGGCCTCGTCATCGCAAATATTTCTCGCCGCGAACCGGTCCTTGAAGTCTCTGTGTCTATTGAAATATATAAAAGAAAAGACTTGATCATGAAAATAAATCGTCGCGAATGAGTTTACCCTTATTAAATCGCGAAATAAAGTCGTCGCGAATAAAAGTTGGTTTACAGTACATAAAGTTGTGCACTCACTATTAAATTAGGGGTTCTGAAACCTCAATATTTGAACTTTGTAAACTCCAGGGACACCTGTTGTAAAAGGATCAAAGGAGAATGGTCCATCCCTCTAAAACAACAACAAAATAGGCAATATAATATTGAAATGAAACAAAAGCTGTAAAAATATAAATCTCAAAGGAAATAATACAGATCTAAAAATATATAGATCTAAAAGATATCAGCTGTACACTAAAAAATTCTAAAAACAATTAGGGTGAGTTCACCATGCATCGGACACATACCTTGCTTCGGACAACTTTGGGCAATTAACTCTCTTTGAAATTAAGAGTTCTGTGTATTTATTTATTTCTGTCATAAAGATGAAGATTTAAATTTTTTAATGATACCGATTGTATTTATCATGTTGTGATAAATATACCCCACAGATGGCCTTGAAGTTACGTCATATTTTACATCATCAAAGGGGAATAACCTGAAATTTATGATTTTGCGATTTTTAGAGTTATCGTTCTTTTAAATTCGACTTCCAAAGAACGAGTCGGACTTTGGTGAATTTTGTCAAGGATTGGTAATTTTACATTAATTACGAAGAAATTTCACTTCAATGTTTGTTTAATTCTTATTAGAGCTGGTTTTTACTAGTATGCTAATTCCACTGTACATCGGACACAAATTAACCATGCATCGGACACTTTTCGATGCAAAGGTAAGCACTACCATTTCCATACAGAACCCAGCTGACAGCTGTTTTTTGCGGAAAAAGAAAATAAAAACTCTATATTTTCAGTCCAAATACTTGTTATCGATATATAACGTCTGGAATTTGACTCATTTTATTTCTACAAACCAGAGTATGATAAACCATGAGAAAAAGGCGCGAATTACTGCATTATAAGCATTTTAAGCATTTCTACAGCAGAGTGAGGTATCTTGAATCGTTCTACATTTGTGCAATAATATCGTCAATTAAATTTAATTTGAGGGTTATTTCTTAGATAAAAGATGAAAATATATCTATATCAAGGATTTTAAGCACTGTGATGAAGGTATGATATTTTTCTGGTCTAAATACCGTCTGTCCGATGCATGGACTGAACAATGTCCGATCCATGGTAAATTCTCAGTTATTCCTAAAAACTCGATTTTTAGGGATATTTTCTCAATAAAAGGCATATAATTGTGTCCTAAATTGATATTTCAATCACAAACTAAATGTTAAGCTCCATTTTGATAATTTTCCGTTGGTAGCGATATCGCTAGAACTTGTTGAAGTACAAGGGTGTCCGATGCATGGTGAATTCACCCTACAGTAAATTACTAACATATTCAT